ATATAAGAATGTCATTGTGTATTACTTTGGTTGTACCCTACATGTAAGTTCTATCCACCCCGTTTCCCCCAAAGACCCAATGTGATAAACAAGTAGTTCAAGATCCTAGTACTTTAGCCAGTCTTCACTGACCCGTTTTAACTAAATACAGTATTCCCTTTAGCAGAAATGTAAATTTAAGTTTACGTGTCCTCATTTGTGTGTTCCTGGATTTTATTTGATAGCGAGCAAACTATTTTGTCATTAAAAGTTGTAACATTTTCTTAGATTTCCCTTTCTTTTTATAAAGAAGAGGGAGAAATGTTACTTATCAATGTTTGCGGTGCATTAACATAAAATTATCATAACTTTTTGATACTTTTGTTAATACATTGTATTAAGGCAGTTAAACAGTGCTAAAATAGTTGCTGGAGAAATTGTTGAAGACATGCAGATTATATAGCCTTCAGATAATGTTGCTTCTTATTTTCTAACTGGAAAGAGTCTTGTAAAGTACATGCACTTTCAGAAGATAGCAACCGTAATTGTATTCGTCCACTTCTAGGGGATTATTTTAAAGACCAAAATGAACTTCTTTCAGCTGTTTGAATTGTCCTTTAATACAATTAATTGGACAATTGATCAAATCCCAGACTGGCTTTAGTTATTTTGAGTGCAAATGAGTGTAAGATTAAAAGAAGAATAAAAGGTTCTCTCTGATCCAATACACTGTTTTCAGCAGTGGTTGATAGTAGATATTTAGGGAAGAAAAAAAACCAGGGCAAGTACATAGCATGATTGTGTAAAATATTCTCCCAGCTTTCAATGGTTTGCTGTTCAGCGATACAAGTCCATCTTAAAATGACTTAAAAAGAGCTGTAGGATCTGTGTTTAGACACTCAGTTCAGCACATTCACCCAGTGTCAGATATTAAAAGCATATGTCCTTTTAAAGGTCTGTTAATAAAACTCATTCAAATTTTTTTGTTATTGTTGTCAAATCATTTAAGAAAGAGGTAGGATGTAAACCTTCTTTGCTTACATGTGATGTTTTAGATCTGAAGTTCAGGGTGCATTGTTAATATGGCTCAAAAATTACCATCTTGTTATATGCTGAAATGGATGCAGAGCTATCTATTGAAATCCATTTTTCTTGCTTGATCAGTGAATCATTTTAAATACATCCTTTTTACATTTCTTTACTCTTGAGTGTTACTGAGGATATCTGAGACGTAACCTTTGAAAAATACATTTATATTTGATTGTAGCCTTTTTTTAAAAAAAAAAAAAACAACGAGGACCTGTAACTTGAACAGAACTGCATTGATTTTTTGTAAACTATTTCTTGGGCATTCACTTAGTGCCCCCAAAACTGTTTAGGAATGAGTGAAGAACCATAAAGTCACAAAAGTTAAAATTGGTAGAATTGGGTGGTATGGAAAAAAAAAGCAAAAGGATACTTTTCAGAAGGAGGAAAACATTACTGAGTTCTTTTTTTTCCCCGAGTTAACCTCTTACATTAGTCTCTGTTCAAACATGGAATTTTCTGAAGATGAGCTGTGTATTTTCCATGTCATAGCAGCGTAAAGTAATTTCTTGTAGACAGTTACCATATGATGTTTTTCTGGTTGTACAGTAATGCTACTAATGCATGTTAATGATTGACCTGCCAAAGCTGCCTGACAGATCTCCTTGGCCCTCTGTAAGCCCTCCTTGGCTACTCTGATATAAAAGAATTTCTTGAAACACTGATGCTGTAAGGAGAAACTCTAACACTCTATAACCCACTCTTTGGATCTGATTCATTGGGATGATGCTGGTCGGTTACTATCCTTGCAGCCTGCCAGAGGAATACAGGTGATCTGGACTGAGAAAAAACTAACCTTGATTGGAATTTCAAGGGCAAGTAATAGTCGTTTTTAGGTCAAAAGCTGTTTTCAGTTTCAAAGTTCAGTAATTAATTTGGTAAGACATCTCAAGCTAGCCTTATTTCTGCAATTCTGTAAGGTATGGGAAATGTCAGAAGTTTCATAAACCATCAGGATGGCCCCTACTTGGAGCTGAGAAATTATATTGTCTGAATATCTGGATTGTGTCATATAAACCAGCTTTTGAGGGAACTTGATATATTTTATAAGTCTATGAATGTTTATGGAGCTGTATGGCCCAGACTTTCAGTCCCAAGGTCAAGGTATGAGCTGCAAACAGACTTCATTAGATTGCTCTTGGCGTTGACGTGAAACTTTTTATGAGCTTTCTGTGATACAGCTTATACTGAAGAGGTAAGGTCTAGGAGAAGCAATATGTTTCTACTAAACTTGATGACAAAAGTGAGTCCTTGGTTGAATTGTATGCTTGTCAAAAGAAGGTGCATCACTTAAGTTGAAGAGAGTTAGCAAATACGCTGTATTTTAGGTAAGTAGTGATTTAAGAATGTAGAGAATAGAGGTTGACAAGTCATCAGGTGTCTTTCAAGTGCTGCTGTTCAAGGTAGGCTGTCCATAAATCCTTCAACAATTTGTAGACAGCAAATTGATCTGTCATTGGTGGTGTTGCAACCAAATGTGAAAGTGAAATGAATGTGGAACTGACTGCAGGGTGGGTAATCATGATTGCTTCCTTCCAGCCTGGCATCCATAAGCACAACTTCTGAGTAAGATTTTTGTATCTTTCATTTGTTCAAGATTCACTCAGGTGTTTAATGTTTTACTAAGATCTTCTGACCAAACTAAAAGCTGACAGGCTGAATCTTTTAGCTGATACTATTTTCATTATTTTTAGTTCAATTAACTAAATACAGGATGTGGTTATAAACAGTTAGAAAGATTATTCTTTACTAAGTACATGTAAGCAGGAGGTGTTCTTTTACATAGATAATGAAATTAAACATCTTTAAAGTAGCTCATTCTTAAATACTAACTTAGAACTGGTAGCTTTGTAGCACTGCAGTCTCTGGTATGGGTAAAAGTTGAGTAACTTCATTTGGGCACAGACTTCCTTGCATATTTGTATTAAGCAAGATTGTTAATTGATTACAGTCCCTAAGGACAAATTCTTTAATACTGAATTCTAGCAATCGTCTTCCCAAAATGAGTAACTACAAAAAGTCTTCAATGAGAGACAGCATTCTGAATGATTCAAGGGTGGTCCAGGAGAGCAGTAACATCTAAATTCCTTTATTCCAGTTTAGGTATTATGGTTCCCCCTGCGCATAAAAAACAGATGATTTCTGACAAACATATTATCATAGGGCTTTATGCACTCCCTGAATTTGCAGCGAAGGAACTGTCACAAAGTATAAGTAATAACTTTCCTTGAAGATTTGGGTCAGTCTTAGTAGATTTTGATGCGTAGATCATCACTGAGTATAACCTTCTTTATTAGATAATAGCAGTGTTTGACATTGGATTAAATTACAGAATTGTCATGCAAATAATACACAGGTCACCTAATTTAATAAAACCAGAAACAAAGGGCTTATTGGGTAATAGGATCAAGGTTTAGGAGCATAAAGTGGGTGTTAGAAGGTCAAAAGCAGAGGGGCTTTTAAGAGAAAAGGAGTTTTGAACATGAAAATCCCTTAATGTTACCTATCTTGTAGTTTTTTTCTAACAGATAACCCACTGACTTTGTGGTAGAATAATACTTTGTTCTAATTTTGATTCAATGCGGTTCAAACAGTGTGCTCTGCAGAAGGTACTAGAGAACATGGAAGCTGGAAGTCTTTGCCTTTATATGATGCATGTTAATTCTCTCGTCCTTTGAGCAAATTTGAACCTGAGTTACTGTCAAGATCCGTATATTCTGCTGGGCTGGCTTAAGGGTTGAGGAGGTGTGACTCGGAACGTGTTGGGCTGTGTGCCCTGGAGATCTGTGAGAGCCTGTCAACTTGAGCTTCTGCCTCCTTGGTTGCTATTCTAAGGGTTTATCCATTATGTAATGCATGTATAGTTTAGTGTAGCATAATTACGTCTAAATTGGTGTGGAATGGCAGACTTGAAACACCCAAGGGCAAAACTAGTAAGCAGATGTTGATAGCTTTTTGTGCTAGCTTTCATTAGATGTTTGACAAGTCAGTCATCACCACACCTTTTAGTATTTCCTTGAGAGGGTTCTATTTACTGTCTCAGTAAACTGAATATTATTTTCAGTTCATGTGGGACTAACTGTGGAATTTTCTTTGTGCTGTGAGAGAACATTTATATGCCAAATTGTATTTTAATAATTTTTAAGACAGGTAATAAAAACTGTGGCATCACTGACAGACTGGTTCTGTCCTGATGTTGTTTACGGAGGAGTACATGCCTTAGCATTCACAGCTTGGTGGTAGTCAGGTGACTTTCTTTGACCTCTCTGCTTATTTGTTTTTAGATTACAGTCCTCAGGAGAGGACTTTGCAGACTATTGATAAAAATGTGTATGCAGTAGCAATGTGGAAGAAGTCGTAGTTGTTTCAGAACAGTATCCTGAGTTTTATTTCATAGATTTGTTTTGCTGTCTTTTACAGTGTAAAGGAAATGAAGATGGGGAGACAGTTGTTGTTGAAAAAGACCATTTTATGGATGACTTTTTCCAACAGGTAAAGTTACAGTTTTCACCATGCATTAAAGACTTAGTTTTCTTTCTGTGCCTTTTAATTTCTATAATTAGGTTTAACAATTCATCTACACCCACCCCCCCCCAATATGCTTTGTAATGGTATGCCAAATCACATGTTGGTAACACTTTTGCTTGTTTATTTCAGGGTATTTTCTGTCTTTACTGCACAGAAGTGTTTTTAACTCCCTGTTGACAAGGAATTTGCTTGTAGAATTTTAAAATCTTTTCATTAAGAATAGTAGCACTTAAGTTTTTGGCCATACAGAATATATTTGCTATTAAGAATACCATTTTTTCTCAGGAAAAAAAAAAGTGCAAGCTGTTTAAATGTCAACATTTCTGCTGGGACTTCTGTCAGATACGTACAAATGTTGCAATTAAATACTTTACCATTTTTATTACCAAAGATTTAAAAAAAAAAATCATCTTTGCCCTGAATTATTCTAATGTTTCCGTTGCCATATTTCTCTTCCTCTAGGTTGAGGAACTTAGAAATAATATAGCAAAAATAGCACAGAATGTGGAAGAAGTGAAAAAGCAGCACAGCATTATCCTGTCAGCACCAAATCCTGAAGGAAGTGAGTATAATTTTTTTTAGATTTCAGATATGTGTGGCTAGATATTCTGAAATAAATTTGTTTGTTTGTTTTAGCTATCCATAGGAATAGAACTTCAGGTGTTCAGAATGCAAAATGTAACACTATTCATTTATTTAAATATGTCCGTATTTAATATTGAATAAATATTTTCATTTTCTTAGGTTTACCTTTTTTAAGTCTCATTCGAATTAATACATTTTCAGAATATTTGTTGCGTCATCCAAACCTTTGCTGGACCAAAACTCAGTTTAATATGGTATCTTTAAATTGATTGTGTCTTGAGAAACTTAGAGGCTACTTGCATTTCTTTTAATTTGTGAAAATGTTGAAGTTGTCAACTGAAGCTCATACAGTAGAGCCATCATCTCTTTATTCTTCAGTAGGGGCAAGATCCTGTCTAACACCAACACTACAGCCAGCTGCTTCAGTGGTAGTAAGAGTTCCATGCTGGAGCCCTATTTTTAGAGGCTGTAACCCCAAAGCTGAAAGTGAAGATATGCTTTCTGAACAGAGAACTCAAAAGTTTAGGGAACTTACCCAGAAACATGGAACCTTCTCTGTCCTCAACACTTCTTAATTCAAGACTTCCTTGAATTCGTGGGTTCGTGGGCAGCCCTTAAAGAAAAGGGAAGAAAAGATGCTGAGATATTTTTGTGGAATGTTGCAACGCTAGCTTAACATTTATCTTCTTGTTGATGAAAACTGAACTTTGGATGTTAGTTTTTATTTTCCCCCTATTTTCTTTGTTTATGGATGGTCATATGTTTGTATTCTTACAAATAATTTTGCAGACTGCTTTTTGTCTTGGTGATTGTATGCAGTCAGTGAATCTCAGGTTTAATAAGGGTTCATCTGAATGTTTAAAATCTGTGGTCTTAGCTCATTTATCATCTTGTGTTTGTGCTAAAAATTGTGCTCATTAATGCAGCTGAACTGTGTAGGAACATGACATTGCTTGTAAGTAATGTATGCTCTTGTGAATCTAGTGTCTTCAGTAAACCAAATAACAGAGATCTAGCTAAGTTCTTCATGAATACTCTGTATAGTATTCTTCAGAAAATATAGGTAGTGCATGGTATAGTTATGCTAATAAGGGTAAAAAAATGGGTCTGTGATAAACAACAGAACTAAAAGTGAGATAAGTCTGTATTTTCACTTGATAGACTTCAGTGAACTTTCATTTTCACTAGCAAATGAATATTACCCTGAAAGCATTACATGAAGAAAAAACATGGAATATTTTATCACGTGGTTTAGTTGGTGATTTGGTAATAACATTTCCCAAGTGTAAGGGCCTGTCATAAGAAGCAGGCATCTGATAGTATGCTGTTACAAAAATCATATTTAAAGTACTTAGGAGTATAATAAACCACTTCTCCGCATGGTTGTGCTGAATACAATTACGAGATTGCAAGGCAGAGTTATAGCTGGTTGCTGTCTTACTATTACCAATTATTAACAGTTCTAAAAAAAAAATTCATGGTTTTTTTTTTTTTTAAAGGAACAAAGGAAGAACTTGAAGAATTAAATGAGGAAATAAAGAAGATTGCTAATAAAATCCGAGCCAGGTTAAAGGGTAAGTTGTGAGGAGAAATAAAACTACCGTTGCTTGTAATGATTCAGGATGGTAGCAGTGTTACAAACTTAATGCATTGCAGCTGAACTTCTGAACTTTAAAAGCTGCATTATGTATGCACAAATTGTATTGTACAGCTCTTTAAAAAAAAAAAAAATAGAGGGAGAGAGAGAACCACCTCCCTGCCAACTAACGTAGAGCTCATGTCAGTAACAGTATCATCCTCTACTTTATTCCTCCTTGGCAAGCTTCACTGCTGATAAATACCAGGTCTCAGCACAGCCTAGTCTGTGGAACAGGACAAAGAGCTTGCTTGCTTTCAGAAATAACCTAGAAAATTACAATGCAAAGTAATTCCTCTGTGTAGAAGTGTATTCTGCAACTGAAATGCTGTTTTTTGGTCATGATGTTTTGGAAGAAGATTAACTTCAACTGCAAAAAGACAGTCTCCATGGTGTAAATGTCTACATAAGGAATTGCTCTAGAGTACCTATTGTATTTTAAATTCAGACTAGCTAATTTTGCTGTGGCTTCCCCCTATGAGTATGTCTTAATTGTTTAGCATAGGTTTTGAAATATATTGAGTGTTTTAATGTTACTATGTTACAATTACTACATGCTTTTGTCCTTCCATAAACACTAGGGTATGATTTTTATTGTTTAAACTGTAAGGGCAGCCCATTTTGTTACAGCTTTTGAAATTTTTCCAGAGTAATAGACAGTAGTGTGATTCTGTTAAGACTACTGAAGTAGTGACAGTGTTTTAAGATCTGTACTAATTATCAAAATTATTTTAATTTTTTTTCTTTTTTCATATATATATATCACTGCCACCCCTCCTCCTCCCCCTGAAATGTTAAACATGTCTGTGGGGAGCTTATACATGAAAAAAGTAATAATTAATAGTATTTACAAAGTAACCGAGCTACACTATTACATAATTATACTGAACGTTGACTCACAATATTCTTGTATTGTTCTTAGCTATTGAACAAAGTTTTGATCAGGGCGAAAATGCTAATCGGACATCAGTGGACCTCAGGATAAGAAAAACACAGGTATGATCACTTAATAAGTTTAAAAAAAATAAAAGGATTCTAGTAAATCGGAGAGTGAGTTTCACTTTTCTGAAATAGTTTCAGAACTTCATGTTCTGTTTTGTTGGAATGTAAATACCACTTTCACTTGTTGTGCAGTAGTATTTGCTGTATCAAAAAAAATAAACGTGTTTGTTCCACATTTTTAAATCCTCAAAAAACAGCACTCTGTATTAGCTCACAAGTTTGTGGAGGTCATGACGGAATACAACGAGACCCAAACTCTTTTTCGAGAACGCAGCAAAGGGCGGATACAGAGACAATTAGAGATAAGTAAGTGACCTGAATACGCTTTTTTAAAAAGAATTGTGTTGTTAGTACCTCCCTTGTTTCTTGTTACTTAAAGATGGTGCAAAGCATCATATGTCTTGGACATCTTCTTGAAGCATGTGAGGGAAAAGAAACAATTTTATTGTATGGCATAAACTCTTTGATACTACTCTTCAGAACAGCTGTAAAGAAAATAGAGAAAACTTAATAAATAATTTCTTTTATGTTGAAAATTATGAAAGACAATATCTTGTTCCTTTGTTTCATTGATTTCCAATGTTGCAACTTTAAACAAAACATTAAGAAAAGCTGCGTTCTGAAGATAGCAAGTGTTATTAAAAGCTGTTCCAAAATTAACATGCTAAACAGGACAACATCTCTTTTTATGCTATGTTATTTTTGTCAGTATGAAAATTTGTTAAATTCAGCTGACATAAAGTCAGTGCTGCCGTTATATGTAGTCTAATTGTTTGTTGACTGACTCACGTTTGACTCATTTCATCATTGATTATTACGAGGACTATTCAGAAAGGTACCTGACTCTACTCTGAACTACGCCATCTACCTCGGAAGGTGTCTAAAAAAAATTCCATAACAGTCTTGTACCTAAAATTAGCCTTCTTGAATATCTCCTGTAAAAGCAAATACATATAATGCTGAAATAGGAAATGCAAACAGAGAAGTTGGCAAATTATAAGAAGGCTCTGCCTTTCATGGGCTTCTCAAATTTGTCATTAGCCTCTCATGCTAATGGTTCAATTCAGCATTTCAGTAAAGTTTATTGGGCAAGTTAAATTCTTCTTTACCTCTGCGTTTGAGGGGAGGGACCCTAATACCTCAGGACATGGTTCTTTTAAGTTAATGTTGTTATAAGCCAATTAGAGCCTTCAGCTTTACCTCAGCACTAAAAATTTTAAAGCAGGTTTTACAGCATTTTTGAGTATTAACATCAGAAAGTAATATTCAAACTGTAACTTTCATCTGATAGGACAGAATTCTATAAGTTATTACAGATATTCAACTTATTTTACATGGGAAGAACAGGGACTTGATACATAATTTTTAAAACTGTACAATACAAATCACTTGAATGTGTTGTGTAACTCATAACACTTGCATTTGTCATACCAGCGTGATCAATAGGATTCAGTTTGCTTAAACATGCAATAATAAACTACATTGATTGTTAGATGTATTATGGAAAGTAGAAGTGATGGTACACTATGGGTGATCATCTTCTCTATGTGGAATATTAATGTAATCCTGTGTTGGTAAAATCAAATTTACATAAAGATTTTATTGCCCACACAGTGGTGGGGAGCGAGTAAATCAGGTGCCAATGTGACATGATGGAATAGGTAAATACTGAATGTTATATAAATATTCTGTATCTCAAGTTCTTTCTTCTGAAGAACACTCCACTTAACAAGGTTCATATGTACCTTCTAAAAGTTTCTGATCAAACTTTTCAATTTGACCAAAAAAAGCCCCAAACAAACAAACACACCAACCAGGAATTCTTCATCGTAGCTTTGAATTTACATTTGTTTTCTGACTATTACTTGATATTTTCTGGGGGTTTTTTCATATGCAAAATGGCACTTGGTAATGGCTAAACACTACATTGTTTTATTCTGAAAAATGCTTTATTTTTTTTGAACTGTCATCCTTCTGATATGTAAAATTTTATGTTCAATAATGAATAAGTAATGTTATATGAAGTACTGTTGTTTTTATTCTAGCTGGAAAGACCACCACTGATGAGGAACTGGAAGAAATGTTAGAGAGTGGTAATCCTTCAATTTTCACTTCTGATGTATGTATTTCTGGTCCAATTATGTCTCTCTTCTATTCTGCTGCTTCTGCTATTTAGAAGTGTGTCAGCATATGCTTACTTATGTCCATATCTTTTTTCATTCTCCCGAAGATTATATCAGACTCCCAAATAACTAGGCAAGCTCTGAATGAAATTGAGTCACGTCACAAGGATATTATGAAACTGGAGTCTAGCATACGGGAACTACATGAAATGTTTATGGACATGGCAATGTTTGTTGAGACTCAGGTAAATGAACCAATTCAAACACATTTACATAAGTGGGATTTTTTTTTTTCCCCCCAGTCTTCCTCTTTGAAATAGGTAGAAACAATTGCTTATGTTCAGATAATACAGACTTACAGTGGTTTTTGACTGTGATTAGAATATATGAAAGTTAATCACTAAAGGTTTTTTGTTTTGTTTTAGACAAACGTATAATCTAGATGTACTTGTAGTATATGCTATGAATAACTAAGCATAGACTTTCTTTTCAGTTGGTATACTTAATATTTTCTTCAACATGCTTATATTGCAATATGCTTGAACATTTTGTGCATGTTTAAGTAAGAAAAACTCTCTCCTGGAATGTTGGCTAACATCTTGAGAATTTAGGATTCTCACAGACATGGTAAAGGACTACTGTGGTAGAATGAAGTGTGCATTAGCAAGGATGTATCAACTTGCACATAATACAAAGGTATAATTTACTGTTATAACTAACATGAATGTAAAGGGATTGACAAGTCATTCAAGTCATCTCTTCTAAGCTTTGTCTTCACATGTACGTAAATTCATTCTATTTGTAGTCTTTACATACCAATTATCTAACAAAAATATTTTTAACTTCTGTTCTTAAAATTCTTTGACTTATGCAGGAAAGTGAAAAGAATAATGTTCAGGAGAGAAACTTTCCTGAAAAGGACTATTTTTTTTTTTTCAACTGGGTTTTGTTCTAGAAGTCCTGTGTTGCTTTGATTATTAAATATATAGCCAAGACAAATTGGTAGCAGTTTTCTTTTGAATTAGAAGTGAACAAAAGTTACTTGTGCATCATTCTTTAATGCTTTGCTGTTTACTGCTGCTGATTATTTCTTCTGATGGACAGAAACACAGGTAATAGACTTACTGTAATTTTTCACCAATCCTCCATTTCATTACCAAATTTCATTCATCACAATTAATTTGAATTTGTAATGTACTGACATTCTAAACCCTCAATTCTGAGGAACTTTTAAAGTTGCTATGATATCTGTGTGTTTTCTTAGATAACTGTTGAACCTTGTGTCAAAATAGTCAATATCCTTTCCCACTTCCAGGCACGTCAGGGATTTCTGATCTCTTTAGTATGTCAGTTTTAGTTTTGGCTGTTAAAACATACCTCACATTCAAAGGTATGTTTTCAGGCGCTCAGTATTTGTTCCTGCAAAAGGGAGAAATATGCCTGCCCTGCCCATGAATGTTCCTTGTTTAGTTAGAACTTTGAGCCCTTGCTTTTCATTCCTTTTTTCCTTTACACATCAAAGCAGAAAAAATGTCAGCCACTAATATGTACATTATTCACTTGTTGAAAATAATCGTTGATGTTCTATAGCCTTTCTTCTCTTAGGTTTCATTAAACAAGGATCCGTGGATTCCAATAATAAAATTTTTTTCTTCAAAATTTCATTTTAAGGGTGAAATGATCAACAACATAGAAAAGAACGTGATGAATGCATCAGATTACGTGGAACATGCAAAAGAGGAGACAAAAAAGGCAGTTAAATATCAAAGTAAAGCACGAAGGGTATGCTGTCTTTCTGTAATTGTGCTAATTGGTATATTAACTTAGCACAGTATGAAGCGACCTTCAATTTTAGTTGATTTTTTTTTTTAAAAAAATTGTAAGCAGTCCTTCAAGGTAGAATTAATATATGCATTTTACTTTTTGGTAGTTGTGATATTTAAAATTAGATTAGAAAACATTGTTGTAAGTTAGCATATGACAGAGGAAGATTTACCAAAGGATTTTACAAACAAACAAACAAAAAAAATCCCAAAATCCGGAAGAAACCAGAACATTTCCAATGTGAATTAATTTGTTATAGTTAATATTAAAAATTGATATTAACAGTAGAGGACAGAAACTTCTTGTACCACAAAAATGGATAAGCAATTCGTGCACAGCTAAGGCTATGTTCACAATTTCCTACTTAAAAAGCTGTTGTTACAGAGTGTAAAAACCCCAAAAGAAGAATTTATATATTATGCTAGTAGATAAATTCACAGGTGGTTCTTACCAACTACCATGATACCTTAAATTATTCAGACTCTAAGCTTAAACATTTTGGATTTTTATCCCTGGTAAACTTACCTGGATTTATAGCCATAAAATCACCATGTTAGCAGGAAAAATAAAATTACGGGTTTTGCTGAAGCAGGTTTACTTTTTTAGAATCCTGTCTGTAATTATTCTTTTTACAGATAACAACTACTTTTGTGCTCTTGTAAAAGGACTGGATTAGGGGGCTCTTCCCTCTGGAAAGGGCGTGATGTTAAACCATGACACTCAATTTTGTGGAGGAATTGAGTTCAAAGTAACATTCAGGCATTTTCCATTGGCATGGAAACTTCTGTGTTCCACTAACTTTCTTCCCATCAGAAAGCCAAATAATGTATTCTGAAATCAAAGTACTAAGTAATTTATTTTTATATTTTGTAACTGCATGATTGCAGAGTGAATGAAGTGTTCCTCTGACATTAGAATTTCCCCTTTTGAGATGCTGTGCAATTTTGTGAGGCTTTTTAATGCCGAGTTGGATTTGAGGGAATAATATATCTTTGTATAGATAGACAGATATCTACAGATAGATAACACGTCTGTTATATTTTTAAAAAATTATTTAAGAAGTGTCAGAAGAGCCCACTTAATGTATTTGTAAATGGTGGTTTTCCATCTTTGATAACTATATAGGTATTAATCACACTAGTTTATCTGTAAACGCTGTTTAAAAATGTTTATTCTTATGCATGCAAGAGTGTACAGATAAATTTATCTCAATTTGAGAATACTGCAGGCTTTAATAAAAATGAGTGTGACTATTTTAAAAATTGAAAATAAATGCAAGTCTTAATGTGCTTGATATTAAAATAATAATACCTTGTTTTTTGACAGAAAATATGGATAATTATCATAGTCTCATTGGTGTTGATTGCCGTAATTGGTCTAATTATTGGTTTGTCTGTTGGTGTTCGGTGATGCTTGGATAACCTCAGCATGCATGACTTCCTGCCAGTGTGGCAGTAAGTAACTAATCAACTAATTTTGCTCTTGTTTTGCTCTGGTAACTTGTATTGTTCTACTAACCCTTAATATCTATACAGTTAGTATTGGGGGGGTAGGCTTGAGATGCATTGGTGGATCTCCTCTATCTCTGCATACTATAGAAGTGCTGTGCATGTGAATATTGAAAACTGACATCTAGTGGTAAGCTGCTAAATTTACAGAATGCAGTTACTACATGAGACTCAGAAACACAGAAGGAAATGAGACCGAAAAATCCAATTATTGTCTCGCAGTCCTTTGGATTTTTTTTTTTTTTTAAATACTGAAAGTTCACATCAGCAAACAATCTGCACTAAGATATGGAATACTAGTTACACTTAGAACTTTATCAAATGGGGTTTTCTATGGTTTTAAGTAGAATTTTCATAAAAGTAGATGCCTACAACCATGAAGTTGTCTATTATGCCTTGCAGAACATCCTAAAATTTCTTACTTCAAAGCTGTTCAGTAACACTGAATGAAACAGTGGGAAATAACAATGTATTTGTAAAAGGAAGTCTGCATAGATTCCAACTGGAATTTTAGGACATAAATTTGAGAATTCTTTCAATCTTCAGATTTTTGCTGTACTAATCTACTACTTCTTGTCAAGATAACACCTAGCCAGGCTAAGTAGAAAATAGCAGTTAACTCTTCTGAGTCCAATAGAAACTCAACTGTTTACATGTAGTATCTTCAAACTATATATGAAGCACTATGAGCGGGATGTCATTTCATAATCAGGAATTCAGTTTTCTGTACTAACACACTTCTAACGTCGAAGTTTTTAGTTTTGATGTTACAGTTTCTTCTCAGCTTTGGTTTATGGGCAGATAACAGGAAGGATTTACTGTATCATTGCTTATAGTCAGAAGTACCTGACCTAATGTCAGACTTTGATGCATTTACATAGAACCTATCTCTCTTTTTTTTTTTTTTCTTTTCCTCCCTTGCAGCTCTTCTGAGCTATTACCTACACAATGTTTTTACTGACGTTTTATTGAATTCCACTAAGTGTGCAATTGTAAAGGTTTGAGCAGGCTACAAATATTTATCCAAGGAGGGTGGCAGTAAGCAATGTTACTATTCTTAGACTTGACCTTGATAAGTAAATGTTCACTATTGCATCTGTTTCTATACGTAATGATATTTACAGAAGTTGGATATGAGTAATAACAATTATTTTGTGAAGCAAAATACAGAAATGTTACACAGATAGCTCTATCTTGTAACTATGGTTACGTGTATGTTAGAAAAGAAAGACTAACAATAGGAAATCATATCAGTAAGTATTCTTTAGACAGAAAATCCAAACACTCAGATTAGCTATCAGTATTATTAATTTTCTGTGGCTATGCATGTATTAAAACAGTTCTGTATCTCAGAAGGTATTTCAGTCTCAACTTTTCTCTCTTTTTTGCAGAAATTGATGTTCATAATTATATGTGTAACTGTATTGCTTCTGATACTTGGAATTATCCTAGCAACAACACTATCATAGCAAGCACATTCCAAGAGTTACGAACCTTCAGAAACTCCAAAATACATCTTCAGTAAAACCAAACCTTTTTTAATAAATGATGCCTTACGCTGTTGCATGATGATGACCTACCACTAATGGTTAAAAATGAAAACAAAATCACTCTTAATGTTTACTTATAAATGAAGATCAGAATGTATTAGGATATGTATGGATTTTCATCATAAACTATACATTTGTAAGACTGAAACTTGCTCTTAATTGTTTTGAACTAAAGTAACTTAGGATTTTTTTCATATCTCAGTGTTACAAACAGAGGCTATTGAGTTTTGACTGTTTGGCTTTTTTTCCTGTTGCTAATATAATTCTAATCACAAATTTTAGTACCTTACCAGTGCTGCTTTTGTTAGCACTCTCGTGAACATTTTTATGTGATGTAGCCTTGTCTTCAAGTATATTAATTATTTAGTCAGTTTAATCTACCTAAGCTTTATAGATAAAAATTTTTTCTCCAACAAGTACTAAAATACTTTATCCTGAAAAGGCTACTTATTTGTCTGCCTATTGCATTACACTTGAGAGAAAAAAAAAAAGGCTTTTTTATACTTCCCAGGTTTTTATTTTTTTTCTTTCAATGTGACTAAGGTTAATTGCTTTAAATACTTCCTTGCCTTTATAATAAAAAGTTAGTTGCAACGTTTCTGCTAAAAGAATGCAGTAATGAAGCACGCTGAATTTGAACTTGAGCAGATAATTTTCCAAATAATCCTTGTGCAAAAGAAACTGATGGATCAGTTTAACCATATTGTTCATATGAATATGACAAAAATCACACTTTTTCTCTATAAAGCCAAGTCAAGATTTCTTGTTCAGAAGCTTGCTAATGTGTGAATATAGCACATAGGGATAAACTCCCTCAGAAAAGTCTGAAACATAATACAAACTAAGACACTGATTTGTTATGGAATTTATGTGTTATATAACATATATGAAGTGTTTTAGTATATACATACCTGTTGTAATGCTAGCTTGCAAGACTTGAAAGCTTGAAAGACTTCAAATGTAACCAAATAACTGCATTTAACGTTACAGGTTATTTTTGTATTTTGTGTGTAAAATATTTGTAACTTGAATTTTTGACTTGTCATTGTTTAAGGATATCCATGTAGATATGTAGATACATGTACACTGTAAGACAATTAGAGGAAAGTATAATGTGTGCCATTTTAAACACAGTCTAAAACTGCACTTGTCAATGTTTCCAAATACTCAACTATAATGTTAACTGCAATAACTTGGTCCTAAAAGATTAGTTCTTAAACTTCTGTTTTGTTGAAAGTGTCGGAGATCAAAGTTACTCAGCAAACTATAATTCAGTCTGTTGACTTAATGAAATTTAGCAAAGTTTACAACTTATATTGTATGTATGAATATTCCTGCTTTGCTTTCCAAATATACTGTGAATGTGCTGGAGCTATTCAGATGTCAAACATGTTTTAAAAAAAGAAAAAAAAACATTACTATTGGTCTTTTTGTAAGTCAGCCATAAAGAAGTCGCTTGAAAAATTTCGGCTTCATTAATGAACAAATTTCTTTACCTCTAAGTCCAGAACACTCACCGATGTTTGTGAGGAAGTTTACATGCGAAGTAAGGAAAGATTGGTTGCCTTAGTACTTGTTCTAGGTAAAATATATTTTTATTCTATAGTTTTCTAGATTTTTATCAGTAAATATTATTTATACAGATATGCAAATTAGATTGGGGGAAAAAATCAGTTCTGCTGTTTAACAGCTGGTAAAATGACCTCCAAAATCCCATCATGTTGAATTTTTTTATTTATAATGCAATAATTTGCCCATCAAGACCAGAAATTTGAATAGGCCACTCCATACTTTTTACTTGTTGTTACATAGCTGCCTCAATGAGTTTGTTTTAAAACAAAACAAAACTTGTTTTCCACATGACCCTCTTTGTTCTGTTAATATTGGAGGGGAGTAAATCTCTAACCTATGCACTAATAAATTTATCTAAGCAAGTATCTTGTGGCTATCTTTATATTCATGATGTTATTGTTACCTTTGTGAATATTACCAGTAAGTGTTTGAATAAGGCTGGTATGTTTTTGCAATGACATATGTCAAACAACCGATACCTAGGTCTTGGAGTAAAGGTAGTGTATTTCCTGAAACTTTTTACCAAAAAAGGTGTAGAGAAGATCGAAGTAGGTGTAGAGGTAATTATGAAGACATTAATGGGATTTATTCATTTCAGCTATGCCCACGGAATTTTGCTTTAATATTAAACTTGAAAAATATGGGAATGATTTATTTAAATACAGCTATTGATGTATTTTCAAAAATTCCTCATAAAAGTGCATCTTTCACAGTATAGAATTAAAATAACTTCCTCTTACCTGCCTACCCCAGAACTGGAAATTCTGGAATAGATCCAGGGTTCTAACGTACAGGAGGTAACTGGAGTCATTCCCCCTGTGCTGATGTTTAAACTTAGTTTAGATTGCCACTGCGACAGCTTTTTGCTGGCACGGCATTGAGTGCTGTAATGCAAGTGGCGATGCTGTACCCGTCTCCTCTTGCTACCCTCGCTCCTTGCAGCTGCAGCCAGCTGCCTGCAGCACTGCTGCCTCTCACCTGCGCGCTGGTCTCCAGCAGCAGAGGTGAACAGGAGCAAGCAGCCTGCTTGGAGCTGACAGCCGTGGCGGCTGCAAGGGATGGGAGGTGGGGAGGAACAGCTGCCACCTGCACTGGGCAGCACGGGGACTGGTGCTCGTCTCTGGTGCCTCTTTTCCCTCATCTTCTGCCCCCCCCGTATATCACATATTGAGGCACATGAGCCTTTCATGTGGTCAGTGCTCTAGCAAATGCAATACAAGTGTCTGTGTGGTATACTGTATAAGGGGAAAGGTTGGTTGTGCTGCTCTTGTGTAGGGGCTTTTTCGGAGAAATTTTGAGGAAAGAATGCCCAAGGTTTCATTTGCTTTCATTTGAGTCAGTGCTATCTTGGTACAGAAATGAATTGTCATGATAACTTTTGTAACAGTCTAACACCAATGAGGATAGGCATGGAGAGCTAGTACCAAAGCACTTAGAAGTTGGGAGTTGGCCAACTTATGACTAACTGTAAAATAATTGAGCAGTTATGCTTAGTTCAATATTTCTTTGTGGTATTGGAAAAATTGGATAGGAATGGAAATGTTGAATTAATAAGTCAAACTTGTCCATAAAGGCAAACCTGGAAAGTAAAGTCTTAGCATAGGGAAAATGTTAAATAGCTGTTTTTACAAAGATCTGTACAACCAAGACACTCAGATTATTTATAAGTGCGGGTATCTCTGCTGCTTCTCGCAGTGGTGCCGTACCACCTGTGGGAAAAGCACCAAATCTGAACATAAATGAATTCAATGGAATGAACTAAAGCTGTTTCAAAAATTAATCTGTCTTCATTCTGCTTCTCTTTGCTCTGTAGTGTAAAACACAGAACAGACATTTCTAGGCAACACAGGATTTGTTTAGCATAGCACTTCCTGAGTTTTGATGAATACAAGCCTGATAAATAAAATTTGGAAGACAAAGGGAAATGAGGGATCTGTTGCCTATGAGGAAGGATGTTTTTCTGTATAAAAATGATATTATTTAAAAAACCAAACACCCTTTCAGACAGTTGTGCTTAATGTAGTTTTGAGAGAACAGTTTGGATGTGAGTTTGGTTTTTTTGGAGGGGTGAGCGGGGTGAATGGGGATTTAAAGACTTAGATTACCTAGTGTTAAATTTGATTTGATGCGTTCATGTGGCTTGTATGCAACTTCTGAAAATAACCATGGCATTCTTCCTCATACTGCAGACAGTGGGTCAGCCTTTGCACCTGTGCAGAGCTCTGCCTTTTCTGTCCTGTACAGTAACTGGCTGCTCAGTTGTGTAGTGCCATTTGCAGCCTCTTTTCGCTACCTCTGTCAAACATGCTAAGTCCTTCTGCCAGTAGCAAAGCACTTACAAATGAGCATTTTGGAATAAAAAGAGCATTTTATAAGCACTTGTAACTAGGTTCTGAAGAACAAAAGTACTTCTGGAGTAAAGGTTTTTACAAAGGGAAATCTATAGAAATGGTAAGTAATTACAAAATACTGTGTTTATGTATTGTAAAGAATGATTGCTTTTATTGGCTGCATTTGAATTCATTTTACTGCAAATAGGGGCAAAGAAGGATTTTGATGTTCAAGAGTAAATAGTTCTTAGAAAACAGTTAAGTTATGATACAAATAGCTAACAATATATAGCACACTGTGGGTTGGGAAGAAAACGTGGATTATTTTGCATACAAAATTATATTTCCTATATCCATACTTTAGAGTATGGATATGAGACTATTGGGTCAGCCCATGCCAGTCACTGTCAATTGAAAGTAAATTGAGCTTGACAACGTTAAACTAACAGAGAGTGCAGCTCAGTCTAGAGAATATGTCAGAATGAATACGGACTCGACAGAGGTGCTGTTTATGTAACAGCTCACTTTATAGTCATTTTATGTAATTTTATGGAAAATGGAGAGGCAATTCAATACATATTTGACAAGGTTATTTGGTAGTATTGCACAGAACTGTTAACTCTCTGTAGTTACAAGGTTTTTACTTTTTTGAGTCTGCTATTATATAATCTTCAATGTTTCTGACATTGGGTAAGTCTGTTAAGGGAATTATATCTAAAATTTCTGAAATGAGATATGGAGGCTTGCAGATGAGAAGGCATACATGACTTAATGTGTGTATAATAATATTGACAGCTTCTTGTAAAGAAATTTTCTTTTTTAAGCTTCCTCCTTTCCTGAATTGTGACATGAGCCTATGGTGAACATCGATGTATCATAGAATCAGAGAGTTACTCAGGTTGGAAGCGATCTCTGCAGGTCATCTAGTGCAGCCTCCTGCTCAAAGCAGTGTCATTGGTGAGATCAGACCAGATTCTCATACTGTTCTACATCACAGAAACACCTTTGATTTTGATTAACTGAATCTTTTAAATATAAGCATGAATTTATTTAAAAAAAAAAACCCACAAACTTTTTCTGTCATGACTGTTCGTATAGTAGAACAGTATCTCTTAATATTCTATGGATTAATGGAATTGTTTTTCTATAGGAAGTCCATCAAACAAAGTAACATTTTGCTAGTCTAAAAATTCATAAGAAGAGAATCTGGCCTTGAGAAGAATTTTTTCCTTGGCCTGTTTGTGGAACAAATTTCTGTTAACTTAAGGATATAAATGGTTATTTTGAAGGGCATATTCTGGACTAAATGTAAAACATATGAGCTTAAGACAAGGGGTGGGGGGTGACTGGCTGTGATATTTCACAACAAAGATAACCAGACGGTGGTTTCTTCACTGCGAGTAGTTTCATGCTACCTGAAATACATCCTTGTCCAGTCAGATATTGCTAAGTAGAAGTG